ATGGAAACTTGGAGTGCGGACGTAAACCTCATCCTTAAGCTCACTCTTTTATCTTAATCCTTGTAGTTTCTCTTACTTGGCATTCCTTGTACATAACCTTATAAATCCATTGTTGTGTATGTCCTAGCAGATCCATCCTTGTAGAGGCTTCGATAGCTCCATCCTTGTAGATACTCATGCTATTCCATCCTTGTGTAGATTCTGATAGCTTCATCCTTGAGTGCACTCCTATAGCTTGGTTCTAAAAACGTGGTATAGAGTGGATTGAGTACATAAGGTACTCAGTAAGCCCTATCTTTGGGGGTAAGGTGGGGTCGATGACGGACGCTGTATGTGGAGGTGGATTATGGTGGCAAATGTTTATATGGTAGGAGTGGAGTTATATGTAAAAAGGGAGTTTGTGTCCTAGGAGAGTATTAAACCTTCTCAACAGTTCCTAGGGTTTATAGGGGGTGACTTACTATATTAACACAATTTCATTACACATAAAAGAGTCTAATCATGTAAGACCTCATCCTAGCGATTCCCATTCCAAGGACACGTGGCTATTCGAATAGATTCAATAAACTTTGTAGAGGTTGTACACATTTCCCAACATGATAGGCATAGTCCAACACCGTCATCATGGCTTAGACAGGCCTTAACAAGATCCCGTACTGGATGGAATGACCTTAGGCATCCATATGACACTACTGCAGTCTACTCAGGGACCGAAGAAACCACACATAGTTTGGAAGAACGCACAACATCCAATTTAATAAAAGTGCTCACACCCGACACAACAAATAATTTTACATGGAAGATCACTTAGCATCCATGCCGACTAGACCACGAAAGATCACCCAGCAACCGTGTCCTCTCCTTATAGTCTGCTGACACTTCGGCCTCCTAGTAGTAATACTTCTACCTAACAGGGTGCGAGACCAAGTCTGCCCATGCAAACATACATATGTACGAAATTTTGGCTAGGCAACACGGCAAAAGAACCGGTCCTTATATGACCGAAGCGAGTATCTCCTACAAGGACCGTCACTAGGTGAACATGTCGAGATAATCCACAACACATGAATTACCCCCACTCGCTCCTGTTGGAAGCAACTTTTAGTTCACAAGATTATATTCATTTAACACCATGGTTCATGTTTTTAAGCACATCCATATCACTAGACGCTCATAACACTTATTCTCAGAAACATGTAAAGAGAAGGTGATAGAGATATATTATAATGTAAATTAAGTTTATTAAATTATGGGTGAAATGGAGAGTGGTAGGTTTTATGGGGGAGGTGGTGAACATGGTGATGGTGGAAATGGGAGTGGGTTAGTTGTGGCAAAATATATGGAGGGGAAAGGTAGGGGTGATAGGACTTGTTCTGCTCGCTGACAATTATATCCTTGTTTTGAGATCCTGATTCTTGTGCTTCTTGGTTCTTTGCCTTCGTGTAACTGTGATTTTGGGTTCCACCGGGTTCTCTCCACGCCTTCTATCCTACACTGTCTAGCGTCGACAAGCAAGAAAAGTAAAACAGGCACAACCAAACGAACTTAGAAAAGAAAGGAAACGGTCCTAGATACGTTGGCCCTACTAGTTAGTGGATTTACTTCTAGGACTATCATTAATATGTCAACTTGAAGGAAGGTTGAATTGAGAATCTCCATCCAACAAGGTGTGGCTCCTACGGGCTGGGTTAAAGTGGTGAGGTTGTTTAGCGAAAGCCAAATCTTGTTATTATCTTCCACTATTATGTGAACGTGAAGAGAAAGCCTGGTCAAGTCATCATAAATGACTTGACTGACTTCTACTGATCCATAAGGGCAGGTTATGGCTTCACATATATGTATTCATATTCATAAAAAGGGCTTAGGTAGTTAGGTACTTGCATATGCAGTCATATACACATATGCAAAGGGTATATAGGCTAGGCTAAGAGGGGTACAGTGCAGGATTAGGATATAGCGTGTGGGTGATGGCTAGGGTTAGCGGCACGTATGCGTGCACATATATACATGCCTAGGGTTAGGGTTGAAAGGTGGTTGTAAAGGCTAGCCATACATAGGCATGAAACTCTGTGCGTATATAAGTGCGTGTGTATATATAGTCACCAGGTATGCCTATGTATGTGTGGTACCTATTGTTTTATGTGTGTGTGTATTCAAGTATTCATGTACGTGTTATGGTGTACACGCGTAAATGAAAATACAGTGCTATGGAAGTGGTTGGTGGATGGGTGCAACTATGGGTTAGCACTATCTAGGAAAAGGCGAAGAAACATAAAACACAACAAAGTAGAATTTAAATGGGTACCAAAATTATGAAAAGAATATGGGTGTGTAGGGTTTTCTTTTAAATGAATTTATGTGGAACAGTCAAGAGATTCGGATTTGGAACGAACAAGATATGGATTTCTAAAGGTTTATCGGGGAAACTGGCATTTGGGAAAGGCTTAAAAAATTATTTCTGAAATTCTGGATGGTGGAGAAAGGGTGGTAAAAGTTTGTGTGGGATCTAGGGTGGCTCTAGTATTATGATAATTTTTCTGGGATTTTTTTGATGAGAGAAAAGGGCTTAGTCAATCTCTTGCATACAATTCCCGTTTGTACCTAGCAATTTCCTGAGCAACACAGTCGCTGACGGATGGTCCCCTACCGGCTGTCAAGGCTGATCAGGCCCTATTTTGTGGACCGGGTCTACAATGTGTTATGGACCACTTGCTCACCCTCTTTGGTTTATGCACACCGTGTCCCTGGATGTGTTAGAGGGGTGGCAGGGCCAATGACATGTGGGGTCCACGGGGTGAGGTGGCATGCTCCCATTGGCTACGTTTGACGTGGCGTTTGAGTGCCACAAATGGCTCAACACTAAAACTTGATAAAGGTACTAAACTCCCTCTCCAACCTGGACTTTAGAGCATTGGTGCTTGAGCACATGCCCAATGGGCAATGGCAGCTTAGAATGCTCCTACACTCTGAAGGGATGGGGCACTTCTCCTGGGGTTCCTTAAGAGGCTCGACAACTTGCTCGAAGTGTCGTTGGCAGTCGAATATTTGCACCATGAGCACTACGAGGTGGTCCTACATTGTGACTTGAAGCCCAGCAATGTGCTATTGTGACTGGGAAAAGACCCATAGATCCTATGTTTGTCATTACTGAGCAACACCCAACCAAGAACCAAGACAGACACTAAGCATCCTAATTGTTTCTTTTGCAGATTGAACAATATGACTAAAGGTTAAGTATATGCATGTTATGTTACAATATGACTAGTTACCCAAAGTACCATGTTGAGCTTCAATTCCTTGTGATCGATCCAATACATTGTATCATTGCTTGTTTACTTTCAATTGTCACGTAATCCATGCTTAGTTTGCTTAGATGGCAGAAGTCGGGAAGGTGATGGGTTTCTCATCTCTCGCTCGTGTAAGACTTGTTTGTCCACTAAGCAACATAAGATGGAGTAAGAATCTAAAACTTGACTAGTTGACCAAGATAATGATACTTGAATCAAGGGCTGGTGAGAGGTTGGACCATGGTAAGACAAGAGATATCTTAAATGGTGTAGCTTGCTGGTCCGATTAAGGATCGTGTATCCATGAAAGCAAGACATGAACACACTTCTACAAACCACTTGTCATGAATGGGTGTGGCATACCAAGGACTTTGTTATGACCGGTTTTCCCGTGGACTTTGCGCCAGGTGTAGCGCAGGGTAGCTAGACTCAGCTAGTACCTCGGGTCATGTTCAAACCATTTGTGGGTGTCCTTGGTCGGACTTTAGAAAGGTTGAGGCACCGAGATACCCCTTATGAACCGACATGTCGTATGGGTGATATCCCTTATCGTTGGTGGTGTTAATGTGTACCCCTATGTAGAGTTTGAATTATGCTAAAAGTTCTATGCTTCTAGATACATACTAGTAATGAATAAAGGACTCGTGGAAGATCGAGCTCCACCTTTCTAATTGCTTCACAATTATCAACCATGCTACGCTTCCTTAGTTGATAAGATCACTTTACTTACGTATAAAATGCCTTTATGCAAAACCAACCGCAATCCTCGCTATAAACCAATTGCATAATCCTTGTTACTATATGCATGTCCTGTTTGAGTACAATTGAGTACTCACCCAATTGTTGTGTAAGCTTGGTATGTACTGCAGCCCTAGCGTATTCTTCTATGCACTGAGTTCTCTGAGGATCAAGAGTGGTAGATAATCCATTTGCGATGTAAAGTTCATGGCATTGGCACAACCATGAGCTTGTACCAAAAACTTATGTTGAATTTGTTTCAAAGACTTATGCTTGTACTCTGAATGTTGTGTAATGACTAAGTTTGGAACAACGTATTGTAAACTTAATTTACCCTTTTACTGATGATGTGAACTTGACTTAAGTTGTGACGTTCCTTTGTGCCATGATCCTGGGTGAAGGTCGGATATGTAGTACACTATATAGGTAGTGTACTGGGATGACCAATTGAGTTGGTTATTATCTAACTAATTGTAGTCAATGAAAGACTATTTAGTTAGGTAATTGATGGGCAGCGGTCCTGACACCATTACTACTCAATCATATTTTCCCTGAATTTTCATAAACCATAGTGAGGTCCAAGCCTACTATATTATTATTCCTCATCCACAAAACAAACTTGCGCAGATGTACGACAAGTAACAACATCTACAAGCTTGACAAAATCAGGGTTCAAAGTAGCAAAGTATATATAGTTAAGGATTTCATAGGATTGATGATTGCCATATATCAATAGCTTAGCATCATGGAACATATACAATTTCCTTATTTTCTAAAAATAAAAATAGGTATGCAGCGCCAGGCTGCTCGGAGAGCTAACAGTTTGTGGAGAGCATCCTTACGGAGCCGGCGAGGGTTCATGTCTTGGCACCCTCATATTATGATCAAGCAGGGGGGCATCGATCTGGCCCGGTGATCTCTTCATCTTTTCAAATTAGGAAAAGTAGATGGAACCAATAATTGATGGTGATGAAGCTAGACCATATCAAGTAGCTCAGACTTGAAACTACGACCCAGTCGAATTCTCAATTTCAAGATGGGCCATTCACCAATAAGCTTAGTAAGAATGGGCAATAAAGATGTTAGAACGCAAACCACAATAGCGACCCAGAGGAGACGAGGAGCTACAACAGTGAATAAACCGGTTGCAAAGGCTGTGGTGGTTGCAATGTATGCAAACCACATTAGCTTCTTTGTAAAAGACCTGTAGTAAAGCAAGAACTCAAGATCCTCCCACTTTGCAATGACACATATGAAGGCAACAGCAAGTGAGGAGCACATTGCCAAGGCGTCTGAGATCAAGAATGCCTTAAATGCGAACTTCCTTGACATGATGGGAAGCCCCTCGTTTCCGGAATCAGTGCTATATCCTCCAGGCAATGTGAAAGCAGCAGCAAAGGTTATTGTGGAGATGAGGATCGCCACTAGGGAAGTGTTTCCTGTGTATGTTTGAGTCAGTGACTTGATATCCTTCCTTGATAAGTCGGTCACTTTATCTTTGACTTCCTTTTGGAGATTAAAACTAGAAAGAGCATCTTGAGGATCAGCATTCAGCATACGCATGAACACTTCATTCTGCTTAAGGTTAAAGAAACATTTTGCATTAGATTAAATAAACATGGGAATGGTACTTGAATTAACTAATATAAAAACTATTGGAAGAATTTGGAAACCTACAACACCTCGGTTTGTTGTCAAGGTTGATGAAATCCAAATAGCCATTTAGCTTAAAACCCCTCTTTCCCTTCATTCAGAAAGTACTCCCTCCATCCCAAATTCTAGGACGTTTTAGCTTTTCTATATATATACATAACATTTGCTATGCATTTAGATATATGCACTATTTCTACATACGTAGCAATGTATCTAAAAATGCCAAAACATCTAGATAGAATGGAGGGAGTATCTAAGTTATTGTCAGTTAACTGCATGCGACTGCGCATTGGCGAGTACTAATAATTGATGCAAATGACTAGCTAGTCTGAGAAAAGTATGGCAGCGCAGAAGATTGCATGCATACTGATTTCCAGATTGCTGAGAAAACATACGCACCCAGTTTAAAGTCTTGGCATGGTCGGTGGCTTGAGATAATTTCCAGATTGCTGGGTCACCACTGTTGTTATGCACTGTGACGTCTATGTCTTTATGAAGCAATAGAGCAGCGACCATACTGGGATTGCACTTTTGGACTGCGAGATGGAGAGCAGTACTCCCGTCCAGATTTCGCGCGCGCATGTTAATGAGTTTGTGAAGCTGCGGCGAGTCCAGGACAAAATTCACGAAGTCCTGATGCTGTTGAACTACAGCTTCGTGCAGACATGTCCAGCCATTCGGTTTGCAGTAGGGAGCATCTGGACAGTGTTTAACAAGCTCCCGAGCAACACCAACATGGCCACGAAATGCAGCACAGACAAGAAGAGGGTTACCTGCTGTGCAGACGAGGTACCCTAAAGACCGATCGTGTTCCAACAATACGCTTACCACGTCAATCTTGCCCCAAAGTACAGCCAGCATCATTGGAGTGCAAACACTCTTGTCTTCTTCTCTGGCCAACCCAGGACGTGCCTCCACAATCTTTTTAACAACGGCTGCAAATCAAGGCAGTAAGGACGTACGGTTAGTTACATGAGTTTTGTTGGGTAAAAAAAGAAAAAAGAAAAACGTTGCTCTCTTGTGTGTAGTTTTTAGTTTGCCAGATATATACTAGATCTATCGGCAGGTCACACCTGAATTTCCGTTTTTCACTGCAGCATGCAGAGCATTGCACCCGTAGGCTCCCCCATGAGCAGAATCTGGAATCTGCAAGAGTTTGTCAACGACGTCCTCACAGTTTCGCATCACTGCGATGAACATGGGTGACTCGCCGTACTGGTTCACAGCATGCGACAGGGCGGGCTCTGCTTCTATCAGCTCTAGCGCCAGCTCCCTGTGTCCGCTGCGTATGGCGTGGTGCAGCACGTTGCTTCCAGTCTTATCTTGCTTCAGGATCCTCCCGCTCAGCTGCTGATCACGGCAGCACCTGAGCAAAGCAGAAGCTACAGAGACACGGCCGCTGGCCACGGCGGCGAGCAGAGGGGTCTCGCCATCCGAGTTGACGGCTGCGAGGAGTGACGGCTTCAGAGCCTGGGCCTCCTTGCAGAACACCTCATGGCCATGGATGGCAGCGATGTGGAGGCATGTGTTCCCCTGAGGAGTGGTTCCAACGAGCACGCCCGGAACATTCAGATACAGGTGCCTCATTTCTGCGACATGACCACATACTGCTGCTTCCAGGAGTCGGTCCGGCATCACCTGAGGACGAACAGCTCGATCAGCTGATATGATACAAACAGAGACAGATATATACGGATAAACCATACGTACCGATGTGAAAGGCTCTGCGTTGATACTTGAATTAAGGTGGAACCGTAAAACAGCGACCATGTTAGTGTCATTGATTCTGGCTGCGAGTTGCAGAGCAGTTTCTCCTTTGTTATCGGGCAAGTTAACAAGATGCTCAAGTTGGGGAGACCTCACTACAAACCTCACAAAATCCGCCTGACCAAATGATACGGCTACGTGAAGACATGTCGAACCCGTTGCGTCGCAGCAGGGAGGATCAGGACAGTGTCTAAGAAGCTCTCGAGCAACACCAACATTGCCCTGAGATGCTGCGATACAAAGAAGAGGAGCAGCATCTGTGGCTGTGGAGATGAAATAACCCAAAGACTGATCCTGTTCCAACAGGACTGTAAGCACGTCAATCTTGTTCTCAATTGCGGCCAGGTGCATTGGTGTACGCTTATCTTCATTTTCTTGTCTGACTAACCCTGGACGTGCCACCATAATCCTTTTGGCCATGGCTGAAAAGAAATCAAGGCAAGAAACAGGTGACCAAGCTGAGGTAGTGTTGGAGATGGACTTTGCTACGGTACTCCCTGTTACCTTGCAAGAGGTAAGACCTAAAAGAAATCATATATAGCCCTTGAATTTTGAAAATAAATAAAACAACTGAAATTTAAGAAATGAATAAAATAATCGGTGTAATGTGTCTTAGTATAAAGAACCACAAATTTGTAACGGTACCATGCAAATTCAACCGTTTGCGGTGTGAACTGGCCAATTCTGTCCTATGGCAAAATTTGTCTTTACTTATATATCCGATTACCTTCTATCTATGAGGTAATATGTGATAATTGCTATTCAGATAGACGGTCCACAATTATTTGTGCGTATCATAGCAAAGTCCATGCATTAGAGATATATGTATATCAAGTTCCTGTGAAGAAAGTAATAAATTTCACATCCTGTATTGTATGCGATTGCGATGCATAGGGTCTCACCTGCATTACCACTTGTCACGGCAGCATGCAGAGCGTTGCACCCATGGGCTCCCCCATGAGCCGCATCAGGAATCTCCAACAGCTTCTCCAAGACATCACCATAGCCTCTCATCACCGTGGTGTACATGGGTGACTCACAACATTTGTTCACAGCTTTCGACAGGGCAGGCTCTGCTTCAATCAGCTCGAGCGCCAGCGCCCTGTACCCTCTGCGGATGGCATGGTGCAGCGCGTTGCACCCGCTTTTGTCTTGCTTCAGGATCGTCTCGCCGCTCAGCTGCCGATCACGGCAGTGCCTGAGGAGGACTGAAGCTAAAGTGTCACGGCCCCTCGTCACGGCGGTGAGCAGCGGCGTCTCCCCGTCCTTGTTGATGGCGGCGAGCAGAGAAACAGCTGATTGGTTCAGCGCTAGGCCTAGGAGGTCCTTGCAGAATCCCTCGTGGCCATGGATGGAGGCGATGTGGAGGCAGGTGTTCCCCTGTGGCGTCGTTCCAAGCAGGACGCCCGGGTCATCAATGGCGAGCTGCTTGATGATTTCTGTGGCATCACCAGATACGGCCGCTTCGAGGAGCCGCCTATCCATCCCAGCCTTCTGATGCTCCAATGAAAGAGTGACTGAAAGAGCGTGCGTGGTAAGATGCAGCTATGAATCACCCACGTACAGTACAGAGGCCGACCAAAGATTGTACAGAAAAGAAAAAGAAAAATAGTACCAATGTGTGCCGGAGTATACAGCGATTGCATGGACGCGACAGAGTCCGGCTCGACGGACACGGGCACGACGGCCTCCGCCGAGACTTCGTTCGACGCGACGTTCTGCTGTTGAGTCCGGCTAGATGGACTCCGGCGGCACGACCTTGATGTCGTCCTCCGAGTCAAGAAGAAGGAGCAAGAGCTTCCTGGCCTCCATGCGTGCAGCGAGCGGAGGCAAGGAATAAGCAAGCAAGGTCAGGCAAGGAATAAGGAAGCGGCGCGGCATAGTCTGACGATGGCGGCCGTCGAGTGCGTCCGTCCGCTCCTTGACCCCGTGCGTGCGAGCGAGCAAGGAAGGGGAAGCCGAGGGGACCGCGGCGCGATTTACTCCAGTGAATAAATGAGCGCGTTAGGAAACGAAGAGTCAGAGGCATTCGCGTTCAAAAGCAGCTTAGCGCAACTAAAGCGACTTCGTTTGCGCAAACGGACGCCGCACCCTTAAATGACTTTATTGGCCCAGCGACACATGCCATGCCTCGTCAGCTAGGACGAGCGCGCGGCCGGGACAGCAAGGGCGTCCCTGAGGAAGCAGGTTTTATCTGGAGCAAGAGGGTTGGGACTGTCCGTGTAACCACGCACGCACACTATAATATCAAGCCAAAGTTTTTCAGTGTCTTCCAATGATATTTGGCACGACCGATCCAATGCACTCGAGACAATAGTAATGCGCGCCGCATATACACTATTAAATATACTAATGATATATATTTGTACGGTAAATACGCTTAAAACCATTACTCAATTTGGCAAAAGAAAAGTTGCTCCATATATCAACTCTGTCCGTGTAACCACGCACGCACACCGTGAATAATGTTTCCTCATTCCCGTAATGATGCATATACATACTCGATCATAATCGATGGAGTCTTATATTAGCCATGAATGAAGTCTCAATATTGCTTATAAGAAACAGCTAAATCAAAGAGGATACCTGGCTGCAGAATATGTCCCGCTATAGGCTATAGTACGTGTATATATGAACGGCAAGAGATGATCCAGTAACCTTACGCACTCAATTTTCTTTTCCTCCTCAATATAATACAGCAGCAGGTGCAGAGGCAAGGGCCAATGGGTTGCGACGGGCTAGTTTACTCAGCCTCACAAGAGGGAGGAGGCTTGGCAAGGGCAAGGACTTGTTAATTGCTTGTCGGGTTGTCCCTCTCAGCAGCCTTATTATAATAACCGACAATTAAAGCAATATATATAAAGAAAAAAGGAAAAGAAAAAAGTGGAAAAGATAAAATAAAAGAAAGAAAGATCTGAAGCAAAGAATTGAGTAATAGTTACAGCTAGATGCCATTTCAGTTTTCGCCAAAAGACGGTCCTAGGGCATTTTGTACAAAACTAGTACAAGAAATACATACAAAAAATAATAAAAAAATACTACATGCAATAGAATTTGACAAGCCACGTGTGGTGTGGTGATTTCAGAGAAGGCCGATGCACATGTCTATTTGAATAATTGACATTGGATTGATTTATTGATCGTGGATTATTATTTGAATAATTGACACGTGTGACCGTAGCGACATACTCCATCCATCGCAAAAATAAATAAATTTAATTTGTGAGGTTTTAAATTTTTCTCAAAAACCTAAGATGTGCTCAGGAAAACAGAATGAGATGAGATACCTTTTTTTCTAAAAAAAATGTAAAGTGAGCGCCTAGACAGTTGCCGACGATTCGGACGCATTTTATCGATCCTGGGCTGAAAGAATTTAATGTTGGACCGTGTATTTGACTTGTTTCTTATTTGTGAAACGTATTTTTTTTTTTTTAGGCTGATTTCCGATTGTTTACGAAGTGGTTAATCATTGTCGATCGCAAAACGCAGTTAATATTCCTTGTGAAATTAAAGTAATTAACATACTGTACTGTTTTCTGCATAATTAAAGAAACAAAAAATAACTTTTTTCTAAAAAAAAGCTAAATGACGTTTGAACTTTTTCCCGTTTGTACATCCTTCACGACTGTTTGAGAAAATAAGAATGATTCTATCCCTTAGTTCAATCTATATACGATGAATTTGTCATTTAAAATCAGCGTAGCAAGAAAAGTTTCATGTCTTCTCTCAATCTGTCAGTCATAGGAGTCAAAGATCTTTCCCTAAGGCAATCTCCAACAAAGCAACCCAAATCCAAAATGGCAGCGTGCACAGTGTATTTAGGTAACCAAAAACCTCTCCAACAGAAGACCCAAAGAGGCTACGCATTTTGCGCCCCTGCTGCACCGAAACGCAAAAAAGCGTCCTCGTTGAACGACGACGCAAACATCTGGCGTGCCCGTAGCGGTGGGCCCCGCAGCGTGGAGCGGCCGGCGGCAAGGCGAGCGGCGTGGAGCGGCCGACCCCTCCTCCTCCCTGGTCGACGCACGGTGGCCTCCCCCTCCACCTCCCTGGTCGACAGCGCGGCCCTCGACGGCGCGGTCAGCTCGGCGAGGCGAGGAGCGGGGTGGGGCGTGGGTGCGGCCGGCGTGGAGAGGAGCAGCGGGCCCGCGCCGGAGGAGCCGCCGGAGCCCGTGCTCGCCGGAGATGCCGCCGGCGCCTGTGTGGATCTGGTCCTGCCCGGCCCTGCAGGCCGCAGGCGTGCGGGCACCGCCGCCGCTCCTAGTGCCCTGGTCGCAGGCGTGCGGCCGCCGCCGCCGCTCCGAAGCCCACGCCGCCGACGGAGAAGAGGAAGAATGGGTCGCCTGTGGTTGTTGGAGAAGGGAGAAAATGGGTCAAGCCTTTTTTTACTGTTGGCGCCCCAAACTACTAAATGGGTGTTGGGTTTAAGTGCTCACCGTTGGAGACAGTCTAATATTAGGCAGTGGATTCATCAGGCATTTCTAACTGATCTTGCCTCTATTCTTGACGGCCAGCTTCTGCGACAAGCTTATTCTTGTGCACGTGACCTCAACGACGACTCTCTTTTGCCAATATTTGAGCTGGGTTTGCTCCTAGAGTGATTCACCAGACTAGAGGATGTTCATGAGCGATGTGGTAGTGACACTGAACAAGATAAAAAAAAGGAAGGACCGCACTAAATCGGAATCAGCACTGGAGATTGCCCACGAGGTGTTTGGTTAATGGTTCCTGTGGCTGATAAGCTGGTTAAAGCTGATTTGTTACGAGAGAAAAATACTATTCCATGTACGGGGTGTGCTATGCACCGGACGGCCGGACGGATACAAAGCGCCGATGGATTTTCCCGCCTGAGTCGATAGCATCCGCGTTCCTGCCAGACGCGTCGATTCCCGCTAGCGCTTTCCGTCAGCGCGTCGATTCCCGCCAGCAGGCCCGGGCCCACCTCACCCGCGACCCTCCCACTTCACGTATGCATAAATTAAAAAAGTCGTAACTGTTAAACCAAACATCCAAATTAATTTCTGATTGCACCATCGCGTTTCTTGCAATAAATCCTTCAAAACAAGATCCTACATGGATATATTTAGACAAACTTTTATTTACGAACATTTATTTATGAAGATAGAACATTATTGAGTAGAGATGATGTTCTAGGTTCAGAGAACAATGTTCCGTTTTTAATAGAAAAATATTCTCAGTTTAGAAGAACAATATTCTAGTTTTAGGTTCATGATAATATGACATAAAATTAAATAAATAAATAATAAAATCTAGAGCAAGGCATAAGAAAAAATATAATAGAGAAAAAATTAAAACGAATATCACATTGATACTTTCAAACACCATAAACATAGACTACAGAATATCACATGTATACCAAGTGAACATCACTAAATACACCATAGAACATCACTATATACATTATAGAACATCGCATATATTACGTGAATATCACTGAATACATCATAGAACATTACATGTATACTGTGTGAACATCAAAAAAATATCATAGAACATCACATGTATACTAGGAGAACATCAAATGTATATTACACGAATATCACAAAGTACAACAAGAACATTACATGTATACCACGTGAACATAAAAAAAATATCACAAAAAATCACATGTATAACATAAACATAAAGACATAGAAGATCACATGTATACACGTGGACTTCACAAAAAATAACATAGAACATCATAAAAATAATAAGAAAATAAAATAAAATAAAGAAATAAAAGAAAGGTAATAATAATAATAATAATAATAATAATAATAATCACATAAAATGTAAATAAAAAATAAAAAAAATGAATGATGCACGAAAAGAACAAAGAAAAAAGAAAAGAAGAAAGAAAAAAATGAAGAAAGATTAAAATATAAAAAACATGAATCAAAGAAAAACATAATTAGAAAAGAAACAAATAAAACAAATAAAAGAAATCAAAAGAAAAAAAAGATAAGACAAAAATAGAACATCACATGCACGTGAACATAAAAAATAATAAAAAGGGAAAAATAAATAAAAGAAAACAAATAAAAGAAATAAAAATAAAGAAACATAAAATATAAAAAAGTTAAAAGAATAACAAAAAATCACATAAAACAAAAAAAGAAATAAAAATAGAAAATGAAGCATGAAAATAAAATAGAAATAAAAAAGAAATGAAAAGAAAAAGAAAAGGAATGAGAGAAGAATAACTAAAAGAGAGAGAGAAAAAAAGAAACGAACGTACTGTGCTCCGGTCTATCCCATCATTTATGCGAAGGCATCAGAGTTGTGAAGCGATTTAAAGCCTATATTTGTGGTGGGCTAACCTCTCCAGCAGTCTAGTAAGGTTTCAGGCCACTCGAGAAAGCCTTAGGCCCGCGAAACCAGACACCAGCTTCACATTTTTCGGCCCGATCCTCCGTTCCCGCGCCGTTCGGCAGAAGGGTCCGAACGTTCGGACCGGAAGATTTCCGGTTCATAGCTGATAA